GTACCACCATTTACATATATATATATATATATATATATATATATATATATGTGTGTGTGTGTGTGTGTGTGTGTGTGTGTGTGTGTGTGTGTGTGTGTGGGTGGGTGGGTGATTTTTATATATATGATGTTTATGTGGGGGAGACATCACATGATCTAAAAGTCTGTATTTACGAACACAAAAGAGACTTGCGTTTAAACAACTGATTTAACTCTCTTATTTTGCATTGAAATGATGCTGGACATAACTTTGATTTCACTAATGCCACCCTAATTAAAAAAGAGCCTAATTCTTTAAGGAGAAAATACATTGAAAACTTAATAATAAAATTATTACCAACTATAAACACATGCTTAAAACATTATATCACATCGCCATTCTTCTTTGAAGCCATTCTTAAAGAATTTAATTTTTATTTACCTAATACAAAGAATACATTCCTAAAGAGGTGAGCCATAACTTACAATCATGTGACACCGCACTTTGTGGGCTGACTGTACAAAGGTGAAGACATCAAAACTCCCATTAGACAGACACACATGCACAATTACGAATACATTACTATCCAATGCCCACTTTTCATACAAAAATCTTCACAAACTTACATACACATAGAATTATCTACATTTTAATGCACATGACATATGTTTAACCAATCAGAACTGACCCAAACATAATTGAAAATACCAGTATTTTCTGTCTTTTTGTCTGTTCTCTCTCAATCTCTGACAAAGATTTAATAAAAGTGAAACATGTTAGACTGATATATGTTTCATATTTTTTCTTTATTCTATCATTCTGTCAGATTCTGATGTATATTTGATCTGCATTTGATCTTTAATTTTTATATATATATATATATATATATATATATATATATATATATATATATACATATATAGTTAAGTTATGAAATACTTCATAATCCATATGGGTAGTACCAGGGAGGACAAAATCCTGACAGCTCATTGTAAATTCAGAGCTAATAATTTAAAGAAAAACAGACCACTTTACGGCTCCATTGTAATAATTCATTTCACCAGAGACCTTTTAAAGTACTCTGGATCTTCAGACACACTTTCAAAAGGTGAAACGAAAAATGAAATGAAAATTTACACTTTTGATGGGTAATATTAAAAAAATTAACTCATTATGTTGGCTCATGGTTTCAATGTAGATATAGAAATCATCTCAATCGAACTCAATATATTTAGAAAAAACTATATAGGAAGGAAAATATTGTGTTATTTTTGGATTTGGAAATGATTGTATACACACATGGGTGCAGATACATCATTGTATGTATACAAATGTGTAGATGGACTTGGACATAGATATGTGGATTTATGTGTATATGTATATGCATTTGTGTAAGTGTGTATATATACATATGTATGTGTATATGTATTGTAGGCGCATATATAAAAATATATATATGTGTATATGTGTATTCGTAATTTTAGGTAGGTATATGTGTATATATATATCGAGTCATGTATATAGGATTGCATGTGGTCTGTATATGTATATGTATATATATATATATATATATATATATATGTAAGTATTTGTGAGTTCGTATATGTAATATGTGTGAATATATGTAGGATATAGTAATATGAATATATATGCATATATAGGTATATATGGGTATAGATTTGTCTTTGTATATATAGAGAGAGAATTCTAATGGAAGGACATAAAATTCTTTTATTAATGTTTAATCTTACTTTCTCTTCAAATATTCTCTAATTAGAATTGTGAGATTGAAACTTTTAATCATCTGGAGGTAATTTCATTTTAAATTGATAATTTAATTTAAATTTAAATATATTACTCTTTAACTATCAGTCTTGATAGTAAAAGTATTAAAATTAGAAAAATTTTTGTTGATATTTAAACACTTAAGTCACCACCTAACATTAAACATTAAATGTAAAACTTAAGGAAAAATTTAAATAGATATAAATATGAATATGTGTAAATATTTGTAAATGTATGTGCAAGTATTTTATATATGAATATGCATAGGTACCTGTGTATATCGATACATATGTGTGTGCTTTTGTGTGTAATTGCACATGTAAATGAACGTATGTATATGTGAGATTTACATAAATGTATATGTGGTATATATATGAAAAAACAAAATTTTTTAATATTACCTTCAAATATTACTCCATCTTAATTTGAAACCTAAACTTTAAGTAAGAAAGATTACCCATCTAAAAATAGTTACAAATTACATTCATGAATTAGACTCAAACTGATAAAGATATTACCTTAACAGTCATTTACAATATTAAAAGATTACTATTAGTAAACTTTTATATTTTAAATCTTTTTTTAAAAGTGTTTTTTATTAATGTGTTTTTAAATATAGTATTTAACTCATATTAAATCCCTAATTTATTTGTAAAGGAGTTAAATATTTAAATTGCTAACAAGCATTAAATTAATTTCTTCGTGGATTTTTTTAAACATTTAAATTACTATCAAATGTTAAAATCTGTTTTTTTACCTAAATTTCTAAAACTATACCACCCCTCTTCTTCCTCTGTAAACCCTAACTACATCTTCTTTCTCTTTACTTACCTCTTTTTTCTTTTTCTCTCTTCTCTCCTTCCCTTTCAACATATCATTTCCATTAAGTTGACCGATTAAATAGGTCAATGTCTGATCCTTATCCCCTCCTTCCTCAATATTAAGTATGATAGAAAGAAATATAAAAATAAACCCTCTCTAAACTCGACCATATCTCTCACACCACTACTCGCTACCTTCTCTATTAAATTACATAAACTTAATACTACCGGTCAAAAGTGTAAATTTTCATTTCATTTTTCGTTTCACCTTTTGAAAATGATGTCTGAGGATACAGGGTTCTTTAAAAGGTCTATTACAATGGAACCTTAAAGTGGTCTGTTTTTCCTTAAATTACATATATATATATATATATATATATATATACAATGGTGGCATCTTAATGGTTTGTACTGATTTCACATATTCTTGAAATTATAAAAGCTTAAGAAACCAGTTGTTGGATTATCCAAAAATAATCTTATATATTAATAGCCGATATATAATAGCTAAAAATATAATTAATAGCATTGCTGTAAGTTCTTTGGAGGCTGAAAGATGGTTTTCTGTGATGAACATAATTTATTCTGACAAAAGAAATCGTCTTGAAGTTAAAAATATGGCAAATCTTCTGGTCATAAATTTGATAGATATTCCATTGGATGTTTGAGATTGCAGCAATTCAAATCGAATGTGTCTAAGAAACCATAATGCAGCTGATGGCATTAGACTCAAAAAGCATCAGACTTCTGAAGAGAAATACAATGAGAACAGAATTTCAATCTGGAAACATCATAATAAAATGTTTTCTATTAAATTATGAAAATTGTTTAATTCTTTTTGATATGATAAAGTGGTTTGTTTTCATTCTCAGATTGAAAAGCAAAGTAAATAAGCAGAATGGCTTCCTAAAGATGACCTGCCTTTATAGAATTGGTTTGTGGAAATTTGATATTCTATTATTATATATAATTGGTTTACTGTACTGTCCAGTTCGCACTCTCCATTTCATATGAGGGCACTTAAGTCTTTGTATATTCGGTCCAGGGAGCCGTCTCTTTGCAAGCAAAAAGACTGTCTCCTTGGGCTTCACGTTATTAGACTCTAGTGTTTATCATATATATATATATATATATATATATATATAATTAATACAAATATAAAATTTGGTGCCTTCAGCATCTCAACTTCAGAGTTTCACAGACAGACCCTTCAGCAATCACTCTGTCCACTCGTCAGGGGGTATCAGCACACAGTGAGTGCTGGTGTTAATAAATAACAGAGATAAAATTTATATTAAGAATGAATATACATTTGTTTCTCACTCTGAATTTCATGCACACGGCAATCAATTAATTTCTTATCAATTAATTTATTTTGTTTGTGAGTAAATTAACAGCTCCACTATCTTGCTAGTAGGTTGTAAACATTAACATATTACAATGGTCAGTTTCCAATGTGTACCTGATGAATATGTACATAAAACTTGTACCAAATGGTGAGGAACAAATGTATATTTATTCTTAGTCTCTCTCCATATATATATATATATATATATATATATATATATATATATATATATATATATATATATATATATATATATATATGGTGGAGAGCAGCTCAGATTGTGGAATTGGAGAGCCAAGTTCAAATTCCAGTCAAATCCATTGCATTCACTTACATGCTAATACCTTTGGGGAAGGTATGAATCCTCCTCTTCTCCCTACAGCTATGGGTAAATAGCAGGACAGACTGGGTTCTATAGCCATGGATGGCAACTGGTCTAGGAGAAGGACAACTCTGAATTCAAAACCTGCGGAGGGTCATTTGGGGACCTTGTGGCACATAGTGCACCAAGTCTCTGTATTCGGCCCTTCAAAAAATGTGGATGGTTTGGTACAATATCTTTCCCACGATAATCAAATCACATGTGCTGGTGTCAGGCTGTCGGTTCCCAGAAACTGAGCTGCTTGACCCTAATACGTGGAAACAACGAGAGAGCCCACCATATATATATATATATATATATATATATATATATATATATATATATATATATATATAGATATATTAATACAAGTAGAATTTGTCACTTTGCTGATTGATGTTATATTCAACACCTTGACTCTAGAGTTTTATAGGCAAATATTTGTATAATTATTTCGTCCATTCATGAGGAGAGGCTGAGCAAGTGAACAGACAGACATATAGAGATAATAAAACTGTGTGTATAAATTTATTAACTTCTACCATAACATAATATCTACAATTATGGGACAGAGTTTAGTACAATGTTTATAGTTTGCATTATAAATCATGCGTTTATATCAATATTGTGATTCTAGGATTCATCCGACTTGTGGAATTTGTTTATTTTATAATGTTATAACAAGAAAAAGAAAACAAAGAAAATCTCATAGCTGAATGTGGAAGGGAGAGGGTGTGGAGAATAAAGAGAAAGTGAAAGAGAGGTGAAAGAAAGAAGAGAAAGAGAGTGAGAGAGAGAGCAAAGAGAATGTGAAAGAAAGATGAAAGACAATAAAGAGCAAGTAATTGAAAGAAGGGTTGGGCAGCAGAGAGAAAGAAGATGAAAAGGAAGAGTGAGAGAAAATGAAGAGAAAAGAGAAAGAGAGATCAAAGAGAGAGAAGCAGAGGAAGAGAGGATGGTGTAAAACAGAGAGAAAGAGACATGAAAGAAAGAAGATAAAGAGAAGGTGAGTGAGAGATGTTGAGGGGAGCAGAGAAAAGGAAAGAAGATACAAAGAGGAAGAAAAGGAGGAGAGTGAAAGAGGATAGACAGGAGTAGAGAGAAAGGGAAAGATATGAAAGAAAGAAGATAAAGAGAAGGAGAGAGAGAGAGGGGGAAGCAAAGAGAATGTGAAAGAGAGATGGAAGAAAGAATATAAAGAGAAAGAGAGTGAGAGAGGAGTAGGGAAGCAAAGAGAAAATGAAAGAGAGATGGAAGAAAGAAGATGGAGAGAAAGAGGAGCAAAATTTAACTAAATTTCTGTAAACCTTTATAGAAAATTTTCTTTTTTCTTTTCAGAGTTGAATTTTTCCCCTATTGACACTGAGTTATTTTTTATTTTCAAATTTGATTTAAAAAAAAAATAAACATTTTGTGTAAATAGCTTCTTGGTAATTTGTTAAAAACTTTATTTTGCCTTTGACATATTTACGTATGATGTAACTTTCTTGTAAATATACTTCAGTAATTCTCTCTTAGGAATTTCACACATGAGAATATTGCATATTTTGGTCTCAAATTTAGAAACAAAAATATTTTTACCATTTATTTGTTGAGATGCATTCATGTAGTTTTTAGAATTCAAAATAAAAAGCAAAAAGTTTGACAAATTGAGAATGCAGCAAGTGAACAAAAATATTTTATGGATGCTATATTTGAAATGATACTGCCAGACTGGGCCACATTTGAAAGTCCAGAGTTATTAAAATATGAAATTTCACTAACTGCGACTTTTTGGTATACTTTAAAAATAAACGAGGCTGACAGGATATAGGCAATCATCATCTTGTTCATATTCTTTTTCTTTATTATTTGGGAATTGCAATGCCTTCTTGGGAAAAATAGGGGAGTGGTTTCTCATAATCTTCTCAAAGGATGTAGGTGATCATCTTCATAAAGATTTTGCATTCAGATTAGTCATCTGGGAAAGATAGTGGAGTGGTTTTCCTTTGCCTTCTCCACAGTTTTGAATTCAGAGTAGTCATCTATGCCATGTCCCTTCAGGATGTAGGTGATCATGGCTCTCCACAGATTCCTTTTTCTTTATTATCTGTGAATTGCCATGACTTCCTGGGAAAGATAGTGGAGTGGTTTCCCTTTGCCTTCTCCATGGTTTTGAATTCAGAGTAGTCATTTATGCCATGTCCCTTCAGGATGTAGGTGATCATGGCTCTCCACAGATTCCTTTTTCTTTATTATCTGTGAATTGCCATGACTTATTGCGAAAGATAGTGGAGTGGTTTCCCTTTGCCTTCTCCATGGTTTTGAATTCAGAGTAGTCATCTATGCAATGTCCCTTCAGGATGTAGGTTATCATGGCTCTCCACAGATTCCTTTTTCTTTATTATATGTGAATTGCCATGACTTCTTGGGAAAGATAGTGGAGTGGTTTCCCTTTGCCTTCTCTATGGTATGGTTTTGAATTCAGAAGGGTCATCTATGCCATGACCCTTCAGGATGTAGGTGATTGTGGCTCTCCACAAGAATTTATTAAAGGCATTGAACATATATAGAAATAAGTTCAATCACAACTTCAATCTAAATAATGCCACACTTATTAAAGAGAAAGTAATTTATTTAGATGGAGAATTCCTGAGTGTGCTGCTATTGAATCTTACCAAAATGTAAGAAAATGGTTTAGTTCAAGACATTTTATCATTTAAAATATATAATACATAAATATATAATACAAAAATTAATCTCAAACTAAAATAGTAGAAATAATAATTGCATTATAAAGTAAAAAGAAAAATTTCAGCTACAATATTTACTCCCTTTCATTTATTAGGCATTAAATGATGTCACTTATCAATTTCCATCGCTTACCTTGACTTTCAGTTAGCCTGATGTTTAATCATTCTTAAATTTAAAAATTCTAAAAACTAATGACATTTTTACTTCTGTGTATAAATACTTGTTACAAAATAAAATCCTTACATTTGCATTGATAAAGTCCAAAATGTGTCAGCTAAGATAAGTTTTCCTTTTGTCTTTATTCATATTGTTTTTTTACAGATATATTTTTAGTTATATCTAAATTTTTGCATACATACATACATACATATATATATATATATATCCACATCTACATATATATATATGTGTGTGTGTATGTGTGTGTGTGTAATTGGGTAGCAGACCTTCTTTTATACAAGTTTGATTGAGAACAACTGACAAGGCAATGCAATTAAGCATTTTATTCACTTCTTTTGCATTCATACAAGTGTGAAAAAATTGTTCAGATGTTCTATGAGCCATTATCAATGATGTTTTTAACTGAAAATGTAGTTTTATATATATATATATATATATATATATATATTGATATGAATGTTTTTCTTTTTCTTTAATATCCAAACATGGTCAGCATGTTCTGGCCATATTCATAGTTAATGTTACTAATATTTGGCTTCTTTTTTATTATTAAATCTTCTATTATTTTTAATCATTTTTTTTTCTTGGGAATGGGCTATTATGGATATATACCTACATAATAAAACTGTTTCAAGAAGACTCACTATAATTTTCACCTGAAAGATTTAGAATCAATTTATAGTAAGTCCTGCCAGCCAATCATATTTTAGCCTTATATGTAAGTAGCTTTTCATATTTATTATATAAATGATGTTATTATATGATATGTGGTCTTTGGTGTTTTTCATTTTAATCACTCTGCCCATTTCTTGTAGTTGATTTATCTCCAATGAGAAAGGCTCGATAAACTAGTTAAGCTGCTTATTTTTTTTAAATGTCTTTTTGAATTTTGATCTAACCATTTTACGATAATGCAATTCCCCGCCACCATTTTACAGATCCATTTTAATTGCTATTACTTATTTTTTTATTGTTTCGGATTTTTTTTCTATATTTTGCATATATTCCATTTTCTTTATTATCTGTGAATTACAATAAATTCTTGGGAAAGATAGTGGAGTGATTTCCCATAATCTTTTCAAAGGTCTTGCATTTAGTGGAGTCATCTATGCCATATCCGTTCAGGACAGAAACGATCATGGCTCTCCACAGATTCCTTTTTCTTTATTATCTGTGAATTGGCACGACTTCTTAGGAAAGATTGTGGAGTGGTTTCCCTTTGCCATCTCCACTGTTTTGAATTTAGAGTTGTCACCTATAACATGTCCCTTCAGGATGTAGGTGATCATGGCTCTCCACAGATTTCTTTTTCTTTATTATCTGTGTATTGCCATGACTTCTTGGGAAAAGATAGGAGAGTGGTTTCCATTTGCCTTCTCCACGGTTTTGAATTCAGAGTAGTCATCTATGTCATGTCCCTTCAGGATGTAGGTGATCATGGCTCTCCACAGATTCCTTTTTCTTTATTATCTGTGAATTGCCATGACTTCTTGGGAAAGGTTTTGGAGTGGTTTCCCGTTGCCATCTCCACGGTTTTGAATTTAGTGTTGTTATCTATGCCTTGTCCCTTCAGGATGTAGGTGATCATGGCTCTTCACAGCTTCCTTTTTCTTGATTATCTGTGAATTGCAATGACTTCTAGAGAAAGCTAGTTGAGTAGTTTCCCATGATCTTCTCAAAGATTGCAAAGATGTTCAATGAAATTTCAATGGGTTCTGCAGGTAACAATAAGTTGCAACACATTTGGTGGATGCAAAAGTTTTCCAGCAAGTTTTTCTCAACTTTCTTTCTTCATATAAATTTATAGCATCATTATTCTGTCATTAAATTCATAGCTCTGAGTTTCTTTGACTTGATGCCATTTTCTATATAAACTGTGTCTTTCATCATTAACAAAATATTTTGATTTTCTTTGAATAAGTTCTTTGAGGATTTTTTCAGTTATTCAGAACTTGTTGGAACTGCTGTCCTGACAAGAGACTGATATGGACTCAGACAAATGATAATCTGAAATTGTTAGACCTGGAAATAACACAGCATGTGGTAGAACTTCCCATACCATCTCAGTACATTTGCAATACAAGGATCAGCATTTTTATATAGAAAAATAAACAATTAACTTCTATGCCCAGAAATCATTCCCCAGGATACAAGAGGTCATGATTAAAAACCCTTGGTAATAACCAAGATTTTAATGCTGATTTTCTCAGCAAGTTTGGTGTAACACAATCTTCCATTCTTCAATTGGCATTGGGCTAAGCTTAGTAAATATGAAAAGAACAGAAACAAGAGAAATTAAATCTATTCAATTATATTAAATAATAGGATCTTACATTACTTTTCAAACTCATAGCCTTATCTTCACTGCATACTAATGCAATATACCTTTGTTATGGTAACAAGAGACATTACTCAACATCAATAACTGAACAAATTACCATAACTGTGAAATATCTTATTAGTAAGTATTGGAGATCAGGTTGATAACACATTGCTTTTTATTCTTGTTTTGTGTTAACATTCTTTGAATATTTTATTTTAATGACTCATAAAGATTTCTTTCTTATATCTGATAACAGATATCATTGTACATATAAAAAAAAACACACTGGTATTAAACATGCAGAGAATATAGTCAGTGCAATAGAACGATTAATTGAATATTGCTATCAGTTTTTGACATTATGGGTAAACAAGTTTAAAATAAAAAAATAAACTTACATTGTTTAGATGCCTTGCAGTTTAGCGACTGTTTGCTACTACTTTCTGTGTCACTTGCTGGTTGTATTGTGTTGCATGTATTTTAGATCAAAACCTATCAAATTCACAACAAAAAAGATCTGGTCACTTGCTCACCTTCTAAAACAAATATAAACAAAAACATGATTTGTCAATTGCATATTTTTGCAGTCAGGTGTGTTAATTTATTTGGAATGAGAACGACCTTCCCAAAGATAAAAAAATGCTTTCCATCAAAAGCTGATTTTTTTCTTTTCTTCTGAACTGATGTTATATAAATCTTTTTGAGAAGCTTCAATACTCTGAGTTTGTTTAACACAAATATAAAAACGGGTTGGGTTGCTGGATTTTATGGAATGTTTGTCCTTGTTGGGTTATGCAATGTTGAAATCACTTTTTTATTAAACTTGAATCTTAGATGTAAACATTGGTCATGTTTATACTTGAATCTCACAGATAAACACTTTGTTGTTTATACAGAAATCAGATAATAAATGCTTGATGTAAACTATCTGGCCAAATATGTCCAAATGGAATATAGGCATTAGATGTGAAGTGAAGATCTGCTGGAGTCAATTTCCAATAAATTAACATCCATTGTTATGGTTGCCTCCTCTACCAAGTAAATGCTTAAAGACTCAATATGTCAAAAGAGAATAGCTGAAAACTATGTTGAAATTTTTTATTTACTTGTGATGTTTGGCTACTTGTAAGAGAGTAACAACTCTTAAGAAGAAAATATGAAATATTACATCTCATGTGGCACAAGGCCAAAACAGGGAGTGGGGAAAAACCTGGTTGTCACTGACTGTCCTGCACCTAGTTAATCTGGTTCATGACGCATTCAACCATTACAATTTACTCAATCACCACAAGAATTTGTCCATCAGTATTCATCTGACATATACCACAATACTGCATATTCGTAGGGATTCTACTGAAACATCCATGACATGAAACGACATGAAATGATTCTGCTGAAACATCAATGACACGAAACAACATGAAATGATTCTACTGAAACATCGATGACACAAAACGACATGAAATGATTCTGCTGAAACATCGATGACACGAATATATATTATATGACTCATTCTTCTTTGGTGCTGAAAAACACTTATTTTATTGTGATGGATAGTTACAAGCAAGAGGGGAGATGGGACGTCCTTATTTTATTATTGGCCTACTTTATGTAAGCATTTTCAAAAAACACTTGAAAACTAAAGAGAAGTTGTTAGTGTTGCCATGGTAACAACTTTTTTAGCAATATTAGTTATGTTTTGAAAATGCTCACATCAAGTAGAGAAACATCTCACATAAATAAGAAGTTTCAACATGCAACTGGTTTTCAGATATTCCCTTTTGACATAAATGAGTCTGTAAGCATTTGTAGAGGAGACAGTTATAACAGCGGATGTCATTTGCTTGAAAATTGGCTTCAGCGGATCTTCACCTTGTCAAAAGGTTCATTCCACTGAAAAATCAAAATTAAAAAAAGGCAACATTTATATCTGAATTTTGTTTTTTTAAATTATAAAATAATAACTCCCTCACTAAACATTTTATTCAATTGACCCTTAACTCTGTGATGAGTACAAAATAATAACAACTCCTTTACCCACTCACCCAATCTGGTCGTCCTGGGTATGACGATAAACTACGTCCATATCTTGGGTAAGACGATAAACTACGTCCAACAGCAAGGCCTCTGATCAGGAGGCTTTGAGGAGCATGGAACCACCTCTTAATTGCTGGTGTTCCCAGGTCCACCCTGACCGGGGTTGTAGCACCTGTTAGGGTCCCAGCTATGGGCAAATAGTTAACCCTGAAACTGAGGTGAAAAGCATTATGAAAGTGTAAAAATAGGTTTTAATATCAGAAATACTTTGTAAAAAATTATTACCAGAAATAAATTTTTGAAGAAAAAAAAACTATTACCAGCAATACATTTTTGAAAAAGAAAATATTACCAGCAATACATGTTTTAAAATAATAATACCAGCTATACATTTTTAAGAAAAAAAATGTTACCAGAAATAGATTTTTGACAAAACAAAAATATTACCTGGAAAAAAGTTATCAGCATTAAATGACCCATTGAGCTTGGTATGCCATAAAACATAGCAAAAGAAACCAAACCATAATATCTGGGTGAGCCGAGGAAAAAGATGGAAAGAAACTTGTGAGCCTATGTGAAATTTTCTTTGGACCAATGAAAACCTTGTCTTCACAGAGATTTGCTGGTGAGCTGACAAGAAGAAAGAAAAGAAAGTTGTGAGCCTATGTGAAATTCCTTTTGATATAAAATGAGGAGAAAAATTAAGTTAAGAAAAGAGTGTCTGAAGTCATGTGAAAGGTTTTGTTTTTGTTCATGCGTCCAGCACTGAAGTTATCACCAGAGTCAAATTAATCGCAAATTATATTATCAGCTTATAACCAAGAACACGGCACTTCAAAGAATTTTCTTTCAACTAAGCTAAGCATAGCTAAGTATTTTAAACTATTTTTCTTCATCTAATTTTGAATGTATTCAACCACATATCCATTTTGTGAGCAATGATGTCACTTAGATTTATTTTAAAGATTTTTGAATATTATTTTGTATTTGATCATTTAATCTGTTGTATCAGCATCTTCTCTTCATGACAATAAACTAGAGACTTTTAAAATTTCTGATTTATTTTCCTGAAATGATCTACTGGCAGCACTACTTCAAGTGTGTAAATCTATATAATAAAAGGCCAATGTCAGTGTGTCCCTGTGTGACACTCTTTCAATCAAAGGGACACAACTCTCTATATGGATAGAAACTTGCAAGCCTATGTGAAATCTTTTTTGATATAAAATAAGGAAAAAAAATGTAATCAGTAGGAAAAAAGTGTCTGAAGTCATGTGAACAGTTTTGTATCTGTTCATGTATGCAGTGTTTAAATTTTTGCCAGTGTCAAATTATTTGCTAATTATATTATTGGCCTGAACGAAGCACTTGTCACTTCGAAGAACTTTATTTTAACAATTCAAGAAAGCTAAGTATTTCAAACTATCTCTCTTCATCTACTTTTGAATGTATGCAACTGTATATCCCTTCTGTGAGCAATGAACTCTTTTACCTTCATTTTAACCATTTTTGAATATTATTTTGTGTCAGATTATTTAATTTGTTGTATGAACATTTCCCCCTTCATGACAATTTGTTGAACTATGGACTGTTGAACTATTCATTTTCCTGAAATGATCCACTGACATGACTTCAAGTGTGTAAATTCATAAATAATTTCCTTATCTTGTTTTGTTAAAATTACCTGTGTATTTCCTTGTCATTATCTGCCTCCATTAACCTTCTTGACACGGGTAAGCTAAGTATTTCACCACTATAGGTCAACTCCTCTTGCACTGAAATCACACTTCATTTATCATAGTCATTTGAATAGCAACTGTCTCTACCTTGAATGACTCTTGAGCCTTGTATTGTATTTTCAACTGTACACACAGTCATCCTCAGACATGGAAATTATTTTGTTTTTAGTAAATCCAGGTAGCATCAGAGACAAAAGATTAAATGTGAATCGAAATATGTTATCCTGAAAATTTACATGTCAGATCAGTGTTTACAGTTGAAAGTACTAGCAGATTAAAAAAAGACCTTATACAGCTTGTAATTATTAAAAACAAAGAATCATAACATTCATTGAGTGATTCGTAGGTTAATGCAACTTTAAAATTTTGTTTGCAAAGATTTTTCACCATTTTATATCATTAACTTTACTAATCTACTTTTTGGATGAATGATTCATTATAATATATATATATATATATATATATATATATATGAATTAAATATTAAATGTAGATAAAAATATGGATCGAAGTCTGACAGGATAATAAAATAAAAGAACAAATAGGAAATGTATAATATATATATATTTTTTCACAAGTATATTGAGCACTTTTTAATACTACTGTTTCCTGGTCTGATTCAACTCTGAGCTTTAACCTTTTATATATATATATATATATATATATATATATATATATATATATATATATATTTGACATCGGTCAAGATCAAAGGGCTGCAGTCCTGTTCCTGAGTTAATTGTGAATTTCATAATATTTTGAATGGTTTCATAGTATGCACCTTGCCAAGGCTACATATCTATATCTATTTCTATCTATCTATCTATCTATCTATCTATCTATCTATATATATATATATATATATATATAGTAATAAAAATATAGTTTTAAAGCATGACTGCATATCCTGTTGTACTAGACTGTTTGTCAACCATAGCTAGAGAATACAGTTTGACCTGCTATTTAATCCATAGCTGGGGTGAGAAGACATGGATTCTAATTTGTATGAAATTGTCGTGCAACAAATTTGGCCGAGTATATTTCAAATTTCTATTTCCAAGCTGTTAACTATTACAATACTTAGTCATATCTTAACATTCCATATAAACAACATGAACTCTGTCTGTCTATATTTCTGAGATGAGATATTGTAATTATTTAGACTATTTACATTTTGTCCTCATCTTTGTTGCCATATTTACAACATTTTAGCCTTCTTCAGGCAATTGGAATTTTGAATGGAATCCTTTATTTTGTCCACCAGAGTAGATTGTTCTAGTGCCATTCCTCTTCTGAATATCTCAGTTATTTCCCTTTAGTAACTCAACTCTCCAAGTTTTTTGTTCACTTCGGCTGTGGCCAAGTATTGAACTTACAACTCTTTGGGTCAAGTCACATTTATTCACTGGGCCCTGTATCCTCATGGCCTAGTGGATAAAAGCATTGATTGAATCCAGTGACAATAAAGCAAACTCTTTTTGAAAGAATAACATTTGTACTATCAGCTGCTTCAGAAATCCTAAGGTACATAAAAGAATTCTTATAAACACATCAAAAGCAATGCATTCAAATGTATTGATTTTCTTTCTATTGGATTTTTCATTAGTCTTTGTAGAATCTTAAACCCAAGCTATCAAGCCACATAGTTTGTTTTGAGATAACAAAATCAATTTGAGTTTCTTATTGTTGCCAAATAAAATAGAAATTTGCAAATAAGTAATACAAACTTTAATTTTTAACTCTATTGTTTGTTTAATGTAAATTGCTCTGTATTCTGAATTACAAAAATGAAACAAACATGGCTGAAATCTTCTCGCAAACATTTTAAGTCTTACTTGACACAATTACACTTCATAAAATATCCACTTCATGTAAACCAATTTAGAACTTGTCAATTAATCAATATCAACAACAACAGACCTTTACCAAATAACAGAAACTAAATTACTTGAATACTTCCAAACACAACAAAGAAATATACCATTTTGAGGGATTGATTTGTTTTTACAGGTTATCAACCTTTTGAAGGTTATTTAAAGCCAGAGAATATTTTTAGATTATAAGAATTTTGGGGGAGATAATAATGATTTGCTGGTAAACATCCTACTAATTAACCCATAAATGGAGGGAGAAGACATAAATGCATACCTTTTCCAAAAAGGTATTTGAGAATAAGTGAATATAACAAACCTAACAATTCAAATTCAGCTTTCCAATTCCTTATTCAGAGCCATTATCCATTATACCACCTTCATATTCAAACTTACAGCACCTGGTATTCCTAAGTGGTCACCCATCCATGTACTGAACAGGCTGGATGTTGCTTAACTTTGGTGATTGTATAAGAACTGACATTTCAACATGATATGGTTGTAAGCCCCAAAATATGTAGCACATATGACTAAAAGGGAAAATGATGATATAATAATGATGTTGACTTTCCACACTACCTTAAACAAAAGGTTAAGAAGGAAACTCCCATCAATAGGAGAAATAGTTATAACAATTAATGGTCTTGAAAAAACCTATTTTAAGAGATAGATTTACACTACTTACATTGTTTGGACTGTTGTCCTCATCTTTATTGATATATTCACAACGTTTCAGCCACTGTACACTCCAACCTGCATCAGGTGATATACACTGGAATTTTGAACCAAACTGGGAGTAGATTGTTCTAGTTCCACATGCTATGCCTTTTCTGGATATCTCAGTTTCAGTTACTTCCCTTTAGTAACTCAACTCTCCAAGTTTTTGTTCACCTCTGCTGTGGCCAGGTATTGAACTCACAACTCTTTGGGTCAAATCACTGGATTATTTCAACCAACGCTTTTATCCACTGGGATATTGTTGAGTTCTTATTTTTAAATACTGCTTAGTAATTGCTCACACTGTTTCCAATGAGTCCAAGTACACACTGCCAGGCCCAAGGATTGAACTGATAATTACTATGTCGCCAAATTCACAAACCAACACTTTAATCCACAAGGTTATTGTAGGACAATTCTCTATAGTGAACTTGAAGCCTTAAACCTAGCCTGCCTGCTGCTGCTCATTATCATTTTTTGATTGCTGCTGTTGAAGAATTGCTGTCATTTTTATTTATCTTTCTTTATTAATGGCTCCCATATTGTATTTATTTCTATGCTAGGCCTGCTAAGGAGGCCCTCATAGCCTAGCATATGTGCTATTTATTGCTACTTGATTCCTTTATGTTTTTAAGTAAAATCTGGGGTTTGGAGCAATCCAAACTTTGTGTATTGATTTTAAAAATGAAAGAATGGCAATGTCTTCTTTTATGTGTCAGATCTTTTTAATCATGGCTCTTCACAGCTTCCTATCTTTATTAGTACTATTTTACACTTTATCATTCCCTCTTTATCCTTGATTATGCCATTCATTCATACAAGCTCATTAATTTTTTAAAGTAAAGTTTACCCAATACAAGGCTCAAGAGCTACTCAAGGTAGAAGAAAAAATAACTTCCCACTTAACATACTTTGAGGTAATAATTATTCAACTAAGTATATAAGTGTACATACATGTTTAAATGTGTGGGTGTGAGTCTGTAATTGTCTATTGGTGTGTATTTATGTAAATATATATTGATATGTGTACACCCTTGTGCAAATTAACTGAAACAACCACTAGTTTCCTTTCTTTCATCATATGATCAGTTTTAGACCCACTGGAGTGACAGGGTGAAATCAATTTCTTTTTTTTCCTCAGATTAGGTCATTTGCAGTAATATGAATCTATTTTTGGGGTATATGATGAAATTTGTTCAGCCTTGAAGAATATTGTGTCATCCATGACTGCCTCAGATTTTTATCATACCCAGGCACTATTGTCTCAATTGTTGATTAGTTGTCCTATGGCCATTGTCTGTGATGGACATTACTCCAAGTAAGCGTATGAAAATTGTAACTCTTCACAAACACACTGGCAAGCCTTACCAGTGAGCAAATCATAGTATTATAGACTGGCCCAGAAACTCTCCTGATTTAAATCGAACTGAGAATCTGTGGTCAATCTGCAGTGAACGATTTCGGGGAATGAATATATGAAGTACTAACATGTGCACTGTGTCATGTTTCAAATGTTCTAAAAAGGAGTAAAAAATTTAATTGAATAATCATAAAATACTTTGATTCTTCCTTTTAATAATAACAAAACAATTTTGATGATAAAACTGTTTTCATTACGTTTGAAGCATACTTTCATCACACTATGCTGATTTTTTAACAATCTCATGGAGGTACCTAGTTTAAAGAAAACTGAAATATAAATAAGCACATAAGCAATCACAGGGAAATGGAAAGAGAGAGGTGGAAAGAGAGTGGGAGGTGGAAAAAGAGAGAGCGGTGGAAAGAGAGTGAGAGGTGGAAGGGGAGAGAGAGAGAGAGAGAGGTGGAAAGAGAGTGGTGGAAAGAAACTTAAATCATTATTATGCACCAGACGAATGACGCACCATGCAAGAATGAATCACAGACTTTTAGTATTATATAGATGTGGCAAATTAATTTGTTTTGTACAGGGCTAGGCTTATTTTGTAAAGCTTGTTCAACTTTATTAAACAGGCCAAGTACAAAATTGTCGAAAAGTTTTATCATATGTTCCCTACCACACACACATGCAGACACACACATACACAAATTTAATATATATATATATATATATATATATATATATATATATATATACAATATATATATATATATATATATATATATATACAAAGACAAAAAGGAAACTTAGCTGAGGAACTTTATCAAGTCCTTGACAAAGTCCCTCATAGGACAAATCATAGCAGCTGAAATAAGTTTTCCTTTCGTAAAAGTAACATAGACAGTTATGAACAGAATGAGAATCAAATAGAATTGATCAAATCAAAAAATATGTAAGTGAATTAAGTAAACAATAAGCAAATGAATAAACTATGAACACACACATAAACACGAGTAAATGTAATAATAACAGGGAATGAGAAACAATAAAATAATCAATAATAAATAATATATTAAAAAGTTAACAAACAACACCATAAAATAGCCACAAAGCTGCATTCAGATCCACAATTATTTCCACTCAGTAGCCCCGAGAATAATTTGAAACATAACCATTACCACCCACCCAAATAAGTGTTAGAATAATACAACAGACCTACTCATAATGTACCACTGACCAGCATATATAAATAGTTGAGGCAAAACCCAACGAACATGACCTAATGGTTGCATTTAAACATGAAGTAAAGTCTCACTGCTGGGTGTTGATTTCAATGTCCAGTTATATATATATATATATATATATATAAAAGAAAGAACAAAAAATTTAATTGAATAATCAGAAAATACTTTGATTCTTCAGTATAGATACTAAGTTGAGAAATGATGCCATCAGGAAGTATGTATAGGAAAATTAGGAACGATGTAATTCCAAGGATAAGACTTTGGGGAATGCCTGTATTAATGCAAAAGCATCTAGAAAAGAGGCTGTCCAAGACAACTGTCATCTCTCCATCCATCAACCATGTTCTGTACTGATAAACTCTGTACCACAGGTCAAATGTTGCTACAATCGCAGGCTTTTTTGAATGGGCATTTTCCATCTCCAAAATAGATATATATATAGATATGAGCAGAATGAGATAGATAGATAGGAACAAAATGAGACAGATAGGAACAGAATGAGATTGATAGGAACAGAATGAATATATATATATATATATATATATATATATATAAATAATATAGTTCCAACCATGTTTCAAAAATAGAGATATATATATAGAGAGAGAGAGAGAGATAGATAGATAGATAGATAGATAGATAGATAGAAACTAATGAAGGGAAGGACATACTGTACTGGTTCATTGTTTGTCACATGTCAGATGATGCTACAATCACAAGCTTTTGGGAGTGTTTCTATCTCCTAGCTGCATGTTGGCAGTTGACTCCTATAAGAAACTCAGCTGCTCTTTGCCAACCCTCTTCAGGTTGGTCTAGATTCAGAATTTTCATTCTCCTACATTGGTTGCTGACTAAGGCTATAGGGCCCTGTCTTCTTAATTGCTGTTCTTTTATGATTCTCTCACTTTAACAGTATTTTTCTGCGTATTCTCTAACACTCAGTAACCTCTCGCATCTTAGTGGCTTTATTGCCTTGTTTGGTGTGAAATGATTAAAAAAATTAATAGATGGTTATATAAAAGGAATAAAAAAATCACATCAAATATTTAAAAAGTAAAAGAAATTGTGAAGAACTACATTTGCCTACTTCCTGAAGGGTCATAGCTCTATATTTGCCTACCTCCTTAAGGGACATAGCATCACATTTGTCTACCTCCAGAAGGGACATAGCACCACAGTTTTCTACCTCTTGAAGGGACATAGCACTTCACTTGCCTACCTCCAGAAGGGACATAGCACTTCACTTGCCTACCTCCAGAAGGGACATAGCACTTCACTTGCCTACCTCCTGAAGGGACATAGCACCACATTTGCCAAACTCCTAAACGGACATGGCACCACATTTGCCAACCTCCTAAAGGGACATGGCACCACATTTGCCAACCTCCTAAAGGGACATAGCACCACATTTGCCAACCTCCTGAAGGGACATAGCACCACATTTGCCAACCTCCTGAAGGGACATAGCACCACATTTGCCTCCCTCCTTGTTGAGATGTTGAGTGTTTCCCTGTGCGTGTATTGAAATAAGGACAAACACATACGTAGAGAAAAATACTGGTATATCTGAAGAGGTATTTACAACAGAGAGATTAGTAGTCAAATGAACGCAGGTTAGTCAGTAACAATCAGAAAGAGTATAAAGTCCAACTGTATCTTCCGGTAGAGAGACGGAAGTGTGATCTCCCAGAACTCTATAGAACTGTCCTAGTAGTAGAGAGATCAGTCCATTCTGATGAGAAGGTGGGTGGCCCCAACACTCCTAAAGGGACATAACACCACATTTGCCTACCTCCTGAAGGGACATAACACCACATTTGCCTACCTCCTGAAGGGACTCCTGAAGGGACATAACACCACATTTGCCTACCTCCTGAAGGGACATAACACCACATTTGCCTACCTCCTGAAGGGAAATAGCCCCACATTTGCCTACCTCCTGAAGGGACATAACACCACATTTGCCTACCTCCTGAAGGGACATAACACCACATTTGCCTACCTCCTGAAGGGACATAACACCACATTTGCCTACCTCCTGAAGGGACATAGCCCCACATTTGCCTATGTCCTTAAGGGATATAGCCCCACATCTGCTTACCTCCTGAAGGAACATAGTGCCACATTTGCCTACTCACCTGTAGGGACATAGCACCACATTTGCTTACCTCCAGAAGTAACAGAAAAATATATTTATTCATTTTTTACTATCATATATGATAAGGCAAGGTCTTATCAATTTACTGTTGAAATGGCTCAATGTAACTGTAAGTTCTATGTTTACAGTTTCTTCTATCACATTTCTCGCTTATGGGACTCTGTTTCAGCTTCTTGCTTATCAGGAAACTTTGATCTTTGAAAGTTTAAATGCAATGTCAATCATTATCTTCTGTCTTCTTAATTCATGTTCTTTTAGTTTGAAATAAAAAAAAGTGAAAAGTTCTACTAAAGAAAAACTCTGCCTTCAATAGGAATCAAACCCACATCCCTTTTCTCCATCAGGGAAACCACTTCTTGAGCTAAAGTGTGGTGCTACTAATGAAGGCCAGCCTGACTGAGCAACATTTGAATTACCTATTTAATATGTTCTTATTTCTCATTGGAATTCATCTGCTAGTTTTCAGTTTCCTATCAGTAACGTAAACAACATTAATTTTTTAAAGGAATTTATTTTTTTATCTGACAAAAAAATAATGCTTATAGTAAAAAGAAATAATGTCAGAAAAAAAATATTTTTGAATATATAAATATATATATATATATATACAGAAATATAGTTTTAAAGTGTGCTATATTTATTGGATAAAGTGCTCAATATCAGAGATTAAATATAAAAGTGAACATTGAAGTTAACACTCAGAGGTGGCCTGACGATTGCGTCTAGCATCAAACAGGCTGTTGCCTCTGAGTGTTGACTTCAATGTTCACTTTTTATATATATATATATATATATATATATATATATATATATATATATATATTATAATTATTTATTTGAAAATTGTAACATAAATATGTTATAAAATCACTATGAAAATAGCCATTTTGTTTCCGTATACACCAATCTTATATTTGTGTATATATATATATATATATATATATAGGCAGCACATTTTTATTCAAACATGTTTTGTTGAATAATATAGGCATATTGTGTTCACTTCTTTTTATACTGATTCTTTCCACTTGTTTAGTTTCATGATGTTGAGATGAAATTCATCAAGGAAAGTGTGATAGATTTTTTTTTAATACAAGTAAGTTTGACATTTTCTAAGATCATCTTCAGGGGTAAATTACAAATTATAGCAACAACATCTTAAAGTGCATATAACATTTATATACTAATGCCATTTTACATTTCTGCCAATTTTCAAGTCAGCTCCCTGATATTGAAACACTTGTTTTGTAAAAATATTCCATGAATAAAATGGATAAAATTTTAAAAATCACTATGACAATGGAAAGCAGACTTTATCACAGTTACAATAGCAAGTTTGTTTTTGTAATTTACCCCTGAAGATGATTTTAGAAAAGGTCAAAAGTCCTTGGGATAAAAAAAAAACTACAGTATCTTCCTTGAAGGATTTCATTTTTTTTGTAACCTTGGGAAGGTTACTGAATAGAATAATCACACGAAGGTTGGTAATGAATAATAATACTTAGGACAAGAACAACACATATAAGATTCACCAGCAGCAAGTAGAAAATGTAGTAATCTGCTAGAATTCCACAATGCATCTCCAACTCTAGATCAACATACAGTATTTACTACTGTATTTATGTGAATGGGGTCATACCCATTATTGTCCGTAGGTATGCTACAACACATCTCAACATCAAGAAACTGATTAGACAACTGGAAAGGATCAGTACAAAAATAAGTAGACACATATATATATATATATATATATATATATATATATATATAGAGAGAGAGAGAGAGAGAGAGATAGATATAGATAGATATAGAAGTGTGTATGTCCTCAAATGTACAAAAAGATATACATGTTAATGCATATTCACATATATATGTATATGTTTAAGTATTTATATATTTCTATATATGTCTGTGTGTTTGTGTGTACTTATGTGTTAATGTAAATATGTATATACATATATATTAATTATAAGTGTATAATTTTGGCATAGATATTTGTTTATATTTTATTGCTAATGTATTTTTATATGTTTATGCATAGTTGCACCTGTATGTGCCTATCTGGGTATATATACCTATGTATGTATATATGTAGATGCGTTTGTGTCAGGGTGAATATGTATGCACTTGAGATGTTCCTTGCTTTAAAATTTGTTAATATAAATTATCTGTACACATCTCTTCCTTTCCCCTGTCAGTCTTGCTGTGTCAACAGCATCTTTCGTATTGTTATCATTCTTGCAAGTCAGATATGTGTCTTCTGAAAACCAACTGCCTCGGTTAGTTTGCAAGCTCATATGTCTGACTGGGAGGAGTAGATATTGTGAGTATATATATATATATATATATATATATATATAATCTTTATTTAATTCTTTCGTTCTATATTTAGTTGTTTTCTTCTTATCTTTCTACACCTGTTAGTAATGTATCTGTAGTGATGGTTTTACAGAAATTCAAATCCAAAATGTTTCTGAAAAAATAAACAAAAATGAAAACAAGACTAAACATCAAATTATGGCTGGTAATAAAAAAAGCCAAAAACACCGTAGAGAAATGCAACAAATATTTTTTAACCAATATAAAAGAACAATGAGTCTTAGGCTGAGGTTTTCGATATCTCAAAAGCAGTCAACGAGGATTTGGCATACTGGCATTCTCAACAAACTCAAGGGCTATGGTGTCTCTGGAGAAATATTTGGCTTAATCCAATCATTGACTAACCATGTAATGAAAGTCGTGTTGAATGGACATGCTTCTAGATCATTTCACATTAATACAGAGGTTCCCAGGGACCTCTAATTAATGGTTAACTGGGGCAAGGAAATGTGTGTTAACTTTAACATCTCCAAAACAGAGAAACTTTTTTAACTTCCAATAGCATGGCTGGTGCTAAACTCCAAAGGATAAGTTCTTTGTGCCATCTTGGGCTCATGTTTTCCACCGACATGAAGTGGAGTGTCTATATTGAATCAATTGCTATGTCTGCTGTTAGGAAAGTTGGTTCATTGTATCATACCAGAAAATATTTCTTGTCAGAATCCATCTTACATATTTATAAATTTACCATTCATCCATGCATTGAATATTGCTGCTATATCTGGTCTTATGCTTCTGCTATATATTTGGAAATTCTTGAAAAAATTCAAGAAGGGTCTGTAATGTAATAGGTTTGGATCTGTCATCTCCACTTCAGTCACTTTCCCATTTTGTTGTGACATGGCTTCCCTCTGTCTTTTCTATAAATATTTTACATGACAACTGATATGGTGAGCTCTCCTCCTTGGTACCTCAAGTGTATGAATTTAAGTGTACTATTTGTTTGGCAACTAGTTCTCATCATTTTACTCTTGAACTAGCTAGAAGTAACTATTAATTCCATTCTAATAATTCTTTTCTTGCACTTTTTGTCTGTGTAACTCTTTTCTGGTTTCTTGCTTCTCTGCAAAAATTCAAAGTTTTCAAATGCAACATCTATCGCCATCTTCTGTCTTCCTAAAACCTGTTCTTTTATTGTCCTTTCTCC